ACCTTTAAATTATGGGACCTTCCTCTTGAGCAAGCAAATTTTACTTGGTCAAACTTCCAAGAGATCTCTAACTGTTGCAACCTAGATAGATTCCTCTTCATAGCGGATTGAGAAGCGGAATGGGGGAGGGAATTTAGGTGTCACAACATTGTCGAGACCTATATCATACCACTGCCCAATCAAGTTATCACAAGAAAGAGTGGGAGGAGGTCCTTGCCCTTTTAGATTTGAAAACATGTGGTTCCTTCATCATGAATTCTTAGCTAAGGTGAAAGAATGGTGGGAAGAGGACCAAGTGGAGTTCAATTGGAAGGGGTATAGATTTTACAAGAAACTGCAACTGTTGAAAGCTAGAATTAAGATTTGGAATAAAGAGGTGTTTGGTAGAGCTGAGGAAAGGAAAGCGGAAATTAGTTGGAGAGTGCATGAGCTAGATGGACTAGAAGCCCAAAGAAGATCGAGGGCAGAAGATAAGGTGGAAATATGGAGATTAAAACATGAATTGGAAGAAAACTTTTGTGGAAGGAGGAGTTGGGTTGGAGGCAAAAATCTTGATGTAAATGGCTAAGGGAAGGGGATAACAATACTAGTTTCTTTCATTTGATGGCAAATGGTAGAAGGAAGAATTTTGTGTTGAAGTTGGAGTGGGATGGTCATTTTTTGACAAGGGAAGAGGAAATAGCACAAGCCTTTGTTGACCATTTCAGCGTAGTTTATGACAATCTAGGGAGACCGATAGAGAGTTTAGAGGATTTGGAGTGGAGAGTGGAAAATAGGGTTTTGTTGGAAACTTTGGAAAAGAGATTTGAGGTTCAAGAAGTGAGAAATGCAATCTTCTCTATGGATCGGTCTAAAGCCCGTGACTTGATGGTTTTTATGGTGGCTTTCTATCAAGAATGTTGGGAGATAATTGGAGGGGATTTATTGGAGGTTTTTGAAGAATTCTTTGAGAGAGGTAAATTTAATTTGGGAATAAATGCGGCTTTTATTGCCTTGATCCCTAAGATGGATCAGTCTAAAGGCCTTGGACATGATAGTTTTATGATGGCTTTCTTTCAAGAATGCTGGGAGATGATTAGAGGAGATTTGTTGGAGGTTTTTGAAGAAGTCTTTGAGAGAGGCAAATTTAATTTGGGAACAAATGCGACTTTTATTGCCCTGATCTCGAAGAAGGATGGTCTCCAACCAAGGATTTCAGACCTATAATCCTAGTGGGAAGCATGTATAAGGTCATTTTTAAGGTGCTAGCCCTAAGAATAAAAAAGATACTTCCTTGGCTAATCTCACTAAATCAAGTGGCCTTCGTGGTAGGAGACAAATTTTAGATCAAATACTTATTGCAAATGAACATGTATAGGTGAGGAGGAAGAAGGAAAAGGGGTTGGTTTGCAAATTGGATCTTGAGAAATTCATCAAAAAAAAAAAGGATCTTGAGAAGGCTTATGATACGGTGGAATGGGATTTTCTGTTAGAAGTTCTTAAGCACGAAGGTTTTGGGATAGACGGTGTAGATGGGTGAAGGGATGTATTTCTTTGTGTCGTTTTTCAATACTAGTAAATGGAGTAGGTAGTGATTTTTTTTTCCTGCGAAGTGCCAAAAGGGGTCTTAGACAAGAAGATTCGTTGTCCCCTTCCTCTTCACTCTGGTAGCTGATGTACCAAATGAACTGATTTTTAGGGCAGATGCCATTAATTTGATAAGAGGTTGGAGAATTGCTAGGGAGGAGGTGGTGGTCACACACTAACAATTTGCAGATGATATCATCTTGTTTTGTGAAGGCGAGGAAGGGGAGATTCTGAACTCAAAAGAGACTGGTGCTTCAGTTTGAGAAGTCCAATTTAAAAGTAAACTGGGCAAAAGTTGTGTGGTTGGAGTTAATTTAGGGGGAGAGGGGGTGGATTCCCTAGCTAGAATATGGGGTTGTGAAGTTGGGGATTGGCCACTATAGTATTTGCGATTACCACTAGGAGGAAACCCAATGGTTGATAGCTTTTGGTACCCAGTGATCGAAAGATTTGCTAAGAGGCTAGCAAATTGGAAGAGGAATTACTTCTCCTTAGGGGGTAGGAGAACTTTAATCAAGTCACAACCTTGGCCAACTTGCCAATCTATTTCCTATCTACCTTTAGAGTACCAATGAAAGTGACAAACCAGCTAGAGAAGAGCATGAGGGATTTCGTATGGGAATTGGTGGACACTAAGAAGGATCACCTAGTGAAATGCGAAGTGGTTTCTAGGAGTAGGGATGATGGAGGCCTAGGAATGGGAAATATAATGTTAAGTCATTAAGGAATACTGCCTTGTTGGGGAAATGGATTTGGATACTGCTGATGGAATGGGATAGACTATGGTCTAGAGTGTTTGTTAGTATTCATGGATTGGTAGACAATGGTTGGGATGCAGGTCTCGACCCTAAGCCTTCTCGGTGTTCTCTTGGAAAGCTATTCACGGTGTTTTACCTTTCATGTTTCCTTATTTCAAATATGATGTTTGTGTAGGAAACAAAGTTTTGTTTTAGGAAGATGTTTGGGTTGGTGAAAGCTCCCTTAGAGCTAGGTTCTCTTCTATATACTCCCTGTCGGAAAACAAAAGAAAAGTGATCTCTTCAGTCTTTGTTGATAATTCTTGAGATTTGGGCTTGAGGAGAGGTATAGGGATTCAGAAATGGGGATGGTTGACGAAATGATTACTTTGTTATGGGCAGTCTTCCTAGATCAGTCTTGTAGGGATTGTAGAATTTGGAAACCTTCCCCTTCTGGTTTTTTATTTGCTCATCTTTCTACAATTTCTACTTCAGACCTTTAACTTTGTAGTGAACTTCCCAACAAAGGAGGTGTGGTGTAGCCCTGTACCTCCAAAAATTTGGACTTTTTTCTGGGAAGTGGTACTTCAAAAAAAATTAATACGTTGGATTTATTGCAAAAAAAAGAGGCCAACTATATGCTTCTCCCCTCATGTTTGTGGTCTCTGCTTGGGTTTTGGTGAGACAATCACACACTTATTAATCTCATGTCCCTTTGTGTTCTTTATTTGCTCTTGCTTCTCTTCTCTTTTTCGGTGCAGGTGGACTCCGCCCCTGAATGTGGTGAGTCTCTTTTATCCAACTTTTTGCAGGCAACGAAAGGTGTGTGGAAGGGTTATGCGGAGGAGCAGCTGTGTTATGGTCAGTATGGGAGGAAAGAAACAATAGGATCATCAAAGGTGTGTTTAGATCCAAGGAAATTGTAGTGGAAGGAGTAACCATTAAGGTCATCCATTGCTTGAAATCATGTGATTTGTTTATAGACTTCTCATCTGAAGACATTTATAGGAATTGGGGTGCTGTGGCAACTACAACTTTATTTAAACCTGTGGTACAGGAATATTGGTCCCCACTGACACAACAAAGGGTAAATCTGAACTTTGATGGAAGCTCTATAGGTAATCCAGGCCCATCTGGAATAGGAGGTGTTTTAGAGATGGTGAAGGCAAAATAATAGCTCTATATATTCTGAACCAATAGGAGTTGGAGATTCTTTGAGAGCGGAGACCATGGCCCTGCATCAAGGACTAACATTGGCCAAACAGTTGGGGCTGCACCCGGTTGAGATAGAGAGGGATTCTAAATTGGTAATTGGGTGGATGCAATCAGGTCGTCTGGGAATATGGCAACATGGACAGTTGATAAGGGAAATAGTATAACGAGGGAGGTGGGTGCTTGATTTAAGTGGGTAAGAAGATCAGCTAATGGATTAGCTGATACCTCAGCAAAACCAGGGGCTGTAAGGGAGAGTTTGTACTGAACAGTGCTATAATGTATGCTGTTTGTTGGTTCAACTTCCTCTACTAGGGGTTGACTTCTCTACTTCTGTACTTTAAAAGCTCATTAATGAAGTTACCATTTCCAATCAAAGAAAAAATCATTTCCATATAAAGACTATATGCTTTAATGGGGTTTGATTCTAGGTTGTCCATGTGAGAAGGATGGATTCTCACCACTACACCATACTATGATGAGTCATTATTCAATCCTGATCCTGATGAGGTTGTGGAAGATTTTTTTTTTTTTTTTTGTTTTGCTTCAAGTGGCTACACAATGGGGTAGCCCATCCCCTAAATCCCCCAACCCGGGTGCATGTGGGATTCGATCCCAAGTCTCTGCTACAACCAGCAGGAGACCTTACCAACCAACCAGTTCGCACCTTGCAATGAGGTTGGGGAAGATGAGTTTTAAGTAAATGATCCAGAGGTGTTGATGAGGAATATATAGTAATTTTTTTTTTGATTTTTTTTAAAGCTGTTGATGGGATGATGGTGAAATCAGTTGGGAGTTGCTTGGGTTCTATTTGAGGTTCATAGTTTAATGTAGGGTGGTATGTTTTTTATTTTCGTTGTCTGAGAGGTGTTTGCTTTTGTTTTATTTGTTGTGTTCTTTTTATTTTAATGAAAATTTAATCTTGTTATAAAAAACCATGGCAACTTGTTAAAGTAGAAAACATTTTAGATTTTAATTTTTAATCCACCTTTATGATCAGGAAAAGTATAAGTTTTAATCCACCTTTATATAGGCTTTCCTAGTGTATTGATACATATCTTAAGTTTTTTCCACTGTATCCATGTCTTTTAAGGGAATATTGTGGTATCTATCAAAATTGCCTTTCCGATACTATTTGCAATACCAATACTTTTAAGTTTGAACCTTAGTAATAGCTGAGTAGGAACTTGGCTTACTATCATAACCTTAATTGCTGTTGGCAGGGCAGGAAGGTAAAATAAATTAGAAGAAAATGTATTTTTCTTATCATTAATAGTATTGTTATCTGTTCCTTTTGATTATTGGGTAGTTTATATTTTTATTTGTAATGCTGGTATATCATTTCTCTATCTTGCTACTTGTTACTTGTTTCCTTTCATTAATGTTAAACTTTGAATCCATGGTTATTTAATTTATTCTTTTTTCCCTAATCTTTATTGAGCATAGAGGAGTTGCTGTTATTTGATAAAATTTCATGATTTGCAGGAGAAAAAACTCAAGGAGCATTTTGATAGTATTCCTACTCCGGATGAACTTCATGCCTCGGGTGTGGAGGGTCTTAGAGCTGATATTATTCTTGTAGATGCAGAGAAGGATAAGAAGCTTTCCATGCTAAAGCAACTGATTGTGGCATTAGTGAAAGGATTGAATTCAAATCCAGCGGCAGTGATTAAAAAGATTGCTGGTGTAGTAAGTTTTATATTATGATTGTCAGAATGTGTTTCTTTATCAGGTTACTTTGACAAGGCTAGAGATTGTATTCTCCTAATCTTGTTCTAAATGCCTCTATTTCTCTCTCTCTCTCTCTTATGGTAAATGAAGATCCCTTTATCAAGAGGTATGCTGAATGTCTTTCTATGGTGGCACTATCAGCCAATGCATCTGGAAACGTGAAACTGCAGGCCCAAGAAAAGGCCTACTTGTCTAGTTTCCTAGTTTGATGGGCCAATAAGTAGCATTTTAATCGGTATATAGGGGTATCATAATTGTGCAACTGTCCATATAGAGCCCATGCACAAATGTTGGAAAAGAGAGTTTTTTTTTTTTTTTTGATAAATGAATGAGATTTATTGATCAGCAGAGGAGAATAGTACAATGTCCCAAGGAGAGGCACGAGATGCAACCTCTCCTGGTTAGTTAAGTACAGCTTCTACTATATTATAACAACTTACAAAGTAGCACAAAAAAGGACCTCCCTGGATACCCCCTGTTTAGCCAGAGAATCAGCCATGGTAATAGCTGACCTACTTACCCATTTTACCTCAAACCTCATGTTCCTAGTTAACCACTTTACTTTTTTGATGAGTTCTTTGTAGCCTCAAGTGGTAGCATCCGGGTTAAGCAGCCACCTTGTTACCACCTGAGAGTCTCCTTCAACTAGGAGATGCTCCACCCCAAGCTGGTTAGCAATCTGAATTCCTTGTACTGCATCTAGTATTTTTTCCCTCGTAGAGTCCCCCATTCCCACCGGTCCTGAGAATAAGGAGATAATGTTGCTGTCCTAGTTCCTCAGGACACCCCCATTACCTGATGGCCCAGGGTTACCTTGGCTGCTTCCATCAAAATTTAACTTGATGATACCTTCTGACGGCGGATCCCATTCTGATAGGCGTTTGTTCTTCTTTGTAGCAGTATTTGCTATTACTAACCAATTCCTCCACAAATCATCAAAAGAGAAACCATCGAATATATCCAAGGTTTTCAGCCAATGTATTGCCCTTCTTAGAATGCAGTCCTTCACTTCTTCTAATCTTCTTTCCTTCTCTAAGAAAACTCTTGCATTCCTTTCCTTCCACAATGTCCATAAGGTTGCTGCCCTAACACATTTCCACATGAACTTGCCTCTTCTAGTGTGCCAAACAAAAAAAGAAGGGTTAATAACATACTCAAATCAATTGGTGGAGACCACCTCCCTCCAAATAAACTAAGGCTCGAACTCCATAAGTTTGTAGCAAGGGAGCAGGAAATTAGCAAATGGAAACAGTCCTCATTTTGGGCCTTGCACAAGAAACACCAATTCGGGGAGAGACATAGAGAGGGTCTCTTTTTTTGCAAGTTTTCCAAGGTATTGATTATCCCATAGTAGACTTCCCAACAGAATACAACAATTTTTGCAGGGATAGGTCGGGCCCAAATCTCTTTGAAGGGGAACACTTGGGAGATGGGGTTGGAACGGAGGGATTTTTGAAAAGAAGAGCAAGTGAAAACACCTTTAGGAAGGGGAGTCCAGACTCTTTGATCAGAAGAAGTGGGGTCCAAACAAACAGACTCTAGTAAATGAAGAAGCTTAGTGATACAAATCAACTCACCATCCCTTAAAACCCTATGAAAACCGAAATCCCAGTTTAAAGACAGGGGACTCAACGGGTTCGGAAGAAAATTTGCAATCGACTCATTTTTGTGAAGGGATAGGGAATAAAGCGATGGGAATCGATCTTTGAGGGGTTGAGTACCCACCCAAACATCCTCCCAGAACCTGATAGCATCACTAGAGCAAGCACCATACCTGATAAAACTGAGGAAGCGAGGAAGAATGCCATGTATAGCTTTCCAAGGTGTTGTGAGGGTAGCTTGACGAGATATCCCGGCATCCTAACCATTTTCTGAGCAGCCATGAATACTCAACACCACATCATGCCATAATCTCTCTCTCTCTCTCTTTCTCGGGGCCATCTCCATAACCACTTCCCTAGGAGGGCTACATTCTTCAGCACTATATTCCCTATCCCTAGACCCCCTTCTTCCTTAGGTTTATTAACTATCTCCCATCTAACCAGATGATCCTTCTTCACCTCCCCTAGTTCCCACAGAAAGTCCCTCATTATCTTCTCCAGTTTCTTAGCCTCTTGGTGAAATCTTAAACACTAATAGGTAGTAGGTTGGAAGGTCGGAAAGTGTAGCCCTAATCAAGGTCACCCTACCCCCTATTGAGATGTAATTCTTTTTCCAAGCTGCCAATCTTTTATCAAAATTTTCCACAATAGGGCCCCAGAAATTGCTTTCTTTAGGGTTAGCTCCTAAGGGTAGCCCTAAGTAGGTCAAAGGCCAAGGAGAGGTAATGCGGCCTAAGCACTCAGCAATGGAATCAATCTCCCACTCCTCCATATTTACTCCAGCCACACAACTTTTATCAAAGTTTATCCTCAGATTGGAGGCAAGCTCGAAGGCTCTTATTAACTTCTTAAGGTTGTCCACCTTTCTCAGATCATTCCCTTTGCGGAAAATAACTATATCATCCGCAAACTGAAGGTGAGTTATTGGACAACCTCTCCTCCCTATTCTCCAGCCCTTTATGTGGCCCTCCTCATCTGCTTTGGAGATCATTCTACTAAGGACATCAGCAACAAGTGTAAAAAGGAATGGAGAAAGTGGATCACCTTGTCTTAAATCTCTGTTGGTTGGAAAGAAGTCCTTAACCACTCCATTCACCAAGACTGAATAATGACAAGAACTTAAACATCCACTTATCGAATTACACCATTTGTCCCCAAACCCACGTCTTCTTAACACCTTCAACAAGAAATTTCAGTCCACTAAATCATAAGCCTTTTCCAAATCCAATTTGCAAACAAAACCTTTTCTGCCAGATTTTTTCTTCTCTTCCACACTCTCATTTGCAATGAGGATCTGATCTATGATTTGTCTATCCTATACAAAGGCTCCTTGTGCTTGGCTAATGAGAGATGGGAGAATTGCTTTGGTCCTCCTAGAAAGCACTTTAGCCAAAATCTTGTAGACACTTGCCACCAAGCTTATTGGCTGAAAATCTTCAGGGTGTTTGGCTTCACTCTTTTTGGGAACTAAAGCTAGAAAAGTGGCATCGATTCCAAGACTTACAATATGTTTATCCTCAAATTCTCTAATGGCTCCAATTAGGTCTTCTTTGACTATATCCCAGCAGTCTTGATAAAATGCCATTGTAAATCCATCTGGGCCCGGTGCCTTAGCTCTATCCATAGACAAGATAGCTTGTTTGATTTCCTCTTCCTCGATCATTCTTTCTAGTCATCCCCTTTCTGTTTGGTTCAAGATTGGCCAATCCTCCTCCCCCACTAACAACCAATTCTCTAGGGGTCTTTGGATTATTGATTTGAAATGGTCCACAATCCTACTACCAATCTCCTCTTGAGAAGTAATCTCTACTCCATCAATCTCAAGCTTTAGTATTAGGTTTCTCCTTCTCCCATTAGCCATAGCATGAAAGAATTTGGTATTCCCATCCCCTTCCTTGATCCAGTTATGTCTAGACTTTTGCTTCCATGATATCTCCTCCCTCGGCAAAACCTCCTCTAATTCTTTTTTCAATCTCCATCTTTGTTCTCTATCTTGCACATCCATTATCGTTTGAGTTTCTTTTTTATCCAAGTCCTCAATCTGAGCCATTAATCTAGCTTTTGCTTCCTCCACTCTTCCAAATTGGTCCCTACTTCAGTCTTTTATTTTGCCTCTCAACCTTTTTAATTTTTTTATGGAATCTAACCCCATTCCATTTCACTTCTCTCATCTCTTCATTCCACCATTCCTTAATCTTAGCCAAAAAGTCTGGATGTGTTAACCACATATTCTTAAATCTTAATGGTCTAGGTCCATTTCCAAAAGGTTCTTGTCCTACTTCTATGGGGTAGTGATAAGAGGTTATTCTAGGTAGTGCCTTAGCCACCAATCCTCTCCAGTGGCTCTCCCAACCCTCATTAAAGAGAAATCTATCAATCTTCAAGCAAATTGGGTTTTCTTGGAAGTTGGACCAGGTAAAGATTGCTTGTAGTAGAGGAAGTTCTCGTAACTCACAGGAGTTAATGAAATCATTAAACTTCCTCATACTAGTTTTGATGGCCCGTCTGGGATTATTTGATTCAGTTGTGAATCTAATTGCATTAAAATCCCCCCCCCCCCAAACACCAAGGGCCTTCCCATAAACCTTGAATACCATGAAGCTCCTCCCATAACTCTTTCCTCTCTATGTAATTATTTGGTCCATACACATTTGCTAGCACCCATATAAAGCCATCTTCCACCATCCTGAATTTTAAGGATACAGTAAAGTTTCCTATCAGCTCCTCTATTGGTTCTACAAAGTCCTCCCTACATAGAGTTACTATCCCCCCCGAAGCTCCCCATGAGGGAGCTGAACACCATCTGACCCCTTTTACTTTCCAAATCTCTCTAACCCACCTCCTATCCAATTCAACTATTTTTGTCTCCTGTAGCATCACAATATCAGGTCTTTCTTTCCTAAGTAATTCCTTAATCAATCTCCTTTTTCTAGCACTGCCCAAACCCCTCACATTCCAACTGATTATCTTCATTAACCTTCATGAATAAGCCCTAGAACAATATTTCCTTCATTTGGTTGCTTTTTTCCTTTCCCCTCTTCCACTAAATTCGATATCCCCTTCAATGTCCAAAATTAATCTCTCTACTTCAGACTTCTTCTTTTTCCTGCCTTTATTACCCACTGACTTCCTAGATGGCCCTTTACTTCCCGTTTCCTGCCCCAAACTTTTTGGGTTAGTATCTGCTTCAGATTTTTTTGGACTCTCCTCTAACATTTCCTCTTCTGTTTATATTCCTCTAGCAAGGTACAGATCTGCTCCCATATCCATTCTAGTTTCCTCCTATTTCTTTACTACCAATCTAACTCCCTCCTCAGTTCGAAATCCCACCTTATCAATCACCATCCCCCTGCTGTCGCTTGGTTGGTCTGGTTGAGATTCCAGGATATCTGTCACAAGCTGAGGACCCTTATTAGTATCTAATAACAAATGGACAGGCTTACCTGAAGGTGGCATAGATGATTGCAAATGGACCGGCTGTTGGGTATTAGTTCTTGGATTCTGAGCCAAAACCATCCCCTTTTCCTGACTCATCCGTGGAAGTGAACTAGGTTCAGGCAATACTTTTTCATCCCTTGCAGTCAAAGATTCCTCCCTATGCTTTCCCTCTGCATGAATCCTTTGATAAGGTGCCATATCTGATTCCTGTTTCTCTGGTCCGATGTCCTAACTATGCTGAGCAAGCAGAGTAGAGTCGTTTATTGGCGGAGATGTCAACTGCCAGACCTCTTCAAGAGTTCCCAACTCCCTCTGTTTTTTGTTCGGAATACCTGGACTGATAGACATTTGTTCGCCGCTGTTGAGATTTAGGACTCTTTGTCGTCTAATGTTTCTAGTGTCTTGCATGTCCATTTCCTCCTCTGGAAATAAGATTTCCGTGTTTAAACTTCCTTCGTTCAAAATATCTTTTGGTTTTTGAAGGTCGATACTTCCCAGACTTATTGTTCCTCCATATTCTGAGTCTGAATCAGAGAGCTCTTCATCTTCTGTTAGTCTGTCTGAATTTGAGTCAAGTGACTCACTTCGCTTCACACACCTAGGATTGCGGCGGTCCTGTGCGGAGGTACTTGTCTTCTTTGTCGAAGGGATCCAGTGTAACGAACTGGGAGTTCTCGCTGAACTGTTCACTGACCTGTGTGAGCTCGAGGAAGACGATGGTAGACCTTGTTTTTTGTCTACCCGAGGTCCTTCCCCTATCACATGCCCCTTTAAGTCGTCACGCGCAAACTTGATTCTTGGGCCAGTTATTTTTGGCCCACTTAACTTTTTGGGCCTGTTGAGCCCATGAAGAAGATTAGAATTAGGAAGGGTCTGTCGAAATCTGATGGTCATCCCATTCAGTCGACCCCCTTAATAGTTATTAGATTCTAATGACATTTACAAAGACTAAACTGCCCTTACTT